TAAAATTTTGTATTTGCTTATTTAAAAACAGTTTTAAAAGCATTGTGTAACTACAAGTTGACCTTTTTAGTTTTATCTTTTTGTGTGTATATGTGTATGTGCGTGTTAATGTGTGTGTGTGTGTGTGTGTGTGTGTGTGTGTGTGTGTGTGTGTGTGTGTGTGTAGGGGAGGACAGAAGACAACAACTTCAGGTATTGCTCCTCGGTTGCTGTCCACAGAATCTCTCATTTATGTGGATCCCACCAAGTAGATGAGGATGGATACCCAGTGAGCCGTAGGGATTGGCCTGATTCTAGATTACAAGACTTGTTCTGTATGTTTGTTTTTAGTATGGGTTCTAGGGATTCAACTCAGGTTCTCAAGCTTGCAAGGCAGGCATTTTGCTGACCTAGCTACCTCCCCAACCCTATAGTTTTTGTTTTCTATTCTAGACTTTTTTTTTTCATAGAAATTTAATTGCTTCTGTTAGTGTAAGTTAACCATTTTTAAAAATAATTTTTATTTCTATTCCAAAGCCTTAATTATGTAGAAGAGGCATTCCTGGAAACAAGAAGGGTGTCTTTTATAATGCAGAATGTAGAAGCATTGGATGTGTGTGCATGTATGTATGTGTTTGTCCTCACCTGTGGTGCACCTGTGAAGGCCAGAGATAAATATCAAGTGTCTTCCTTTATCACTGTCCACCTTATTTTTGAGACATGGTCTCTCCCTGGACCTGGACCTGGACCTTGCCTTTTTGGCTAGACTGGCTAGCTAGTGAGACCCAGAGTGACTTTTGTCTTGCATAGTCCCCAGCTCTAGGAATACAGATGCTACAGTACCTAATTTTAGTAGGTTCTGGGGATCTGAACTCAGGATTCTTGCACAGCAAGTACTTTGCCTATTGTGCCATCTCCTCACCCGCTATGGCAGAGTTCTTCATTCACTATTTATCGCATCTGCAGAAGTTGTGTTTTTGCATAAATGAGCGATAATGTGCACCAGAATGTATGTGATCCATTGTAGACAGTAAACGTTTTGGAAATGGGGTCATTTTAGAATATGAAACAAAATTCTGAGTCGTGAATAGACTTGCTAAAAGGAGTAAGCCTGTGGCAGCATTTTCATGGAAAGCTGGAAGAATGTGCTGTTATAGTCACCATAGCCGAATTACCTGTTAAATGCCTTTTTTTAAAAATAAGCAACTGGGGTATAGGTCAGTGGAAGAATATGGCTTAGTGTGCACGGGGCTCTGAGTTACTTTAACACCCACAAACAACATGAAATGTGCTTCCCATGGAAGACGTTCTGTCTCAAGATGTGTGTCCAGATGTGGTGGAGTGAACCCCGTAGTCTTCAGCTGTGTCTGCTTGGATACTGCTTGGTCTTTGCTGTTAGGGTTTTAAAAGTAGCATTTGGGAACTAGAGCAGCACCTAGGCCTTTTCTACAAGCTGGAACCATTCTGTTTAACAAGTGGTCTGTGAAAATTGATTCCATTATTTCCTCAGATTTTGTGTCAGTGTTTAAATTCATTCAAGAAATTCTCAGAATTCAGTAACACGGCGGGCGTTTTCCTTTTCGGATGGATGAATTGGAGAACGGGAGCTGCGCGGCCACTCGGTTTGCCTCCCTATCTGGGAGCTTGCCCGTTCGTGTTCTCTTTCTGAAGCCTGAAGTCCATGCTGCTATTGTGGCACGGCACAGTAGGTGTCCTTTAGAAGAGCTATGTACAAGGAAAAAGAGATCTAGGGATTGGCCTGTTAAGGAACACAAGTTAGATAACTGTCACATTCATCCTCTTTTGGAGGGGCATTGGAGGAGGAGGGGAATGTTAAGGAGGTCAAAGGAGGCCAGGGTGGGTGGAGGGAGGTAAGTGCAGACAGTAAGGTGGGGGATAGGTATATGATGAAACTATTGGCGAAGCCACCTTTGGAACAGTTAGCATATGGATAAGACTTCTAAGCAGTTTGTCGGAGCCCTGGCTCTTGTTTGAGTATCAAAGCTTGACGGTGTTCTTTTGCAAATGTCAATAAGTACACCACAGAGATGAAGCAAGCCACCCCAAGGGCTGTTCGGAGACTAGGCTTTCTGTTTGTAACTGGGAATATAAGTGCTAACGTGTGATATGTAAAGTGTGCAAACGTTTTCCAGCTCTTAGAATTTCTCATGAGAAGTTCTTCAGGTAGCTGCTGCATACGTCATATTTAAAACCAGTTGATTGTATCCAGAGCAAGGAGATGCTCGTTCAGATATTGTGTATGAGAGATGACCTGCTTTGCTCTGGCCTTAGTTGCTGCAGTGGATATTTATGGTACAGGATATTACACACGGTTATTTGATTGTTTCTTTAATTTCTGTTTCAGAAATGTTTTCCTTAGTAGTGAGCATGTTGTCTGCCCACGTAGAATGCAATATGTTGCTCACACTAGGCACCTCTGTTTCTTCTAGTGGTGACCTAAGTTAAGTCATTGTCGTCCATGTAGATGTGTGAAGATCTGTGTGCACAGTAATGTCCGGGCTGGATGATATTTCTTACTGGCCTCTGGAAGCCTAATGATAAGTTTTCATCTAACAGTAATGTGTATGGCATGGCATGCCAAAGTTGGTTTCTTTGGTTTTCTAGTTTTCCAAAAGGATGTACCATTTCTGCCTGTTCATCTAAGTCATTGTCTTCTGCTGTCTTTGCCTTCGATCTCAAAAATAGATCCTAAAAGTTCTGAGTTTGCTTTAGTAAAATAGAATTGGGACAGATCTTTGACATTCCCGTTGACCACAGAAGTCTGTGTCTGACACTTTATGCTTGCAGCTTCACACTGTTCAAACCTGCTTAGCAGTTTTCCCCACCGTGGTGCATTGCAGTGTTGATATGGATGATCGATCATCCAGTCCAGAATAGATGGGATTTGAACTATGGACATTAGGGAAACAAGGGGGTTGGTGGAAAACCATGGCTTATCATGGAGTGCCAGGCTGGGGAGAAATCTAAGGCAGAACTCACTCAGTGAGGGCAGGTATCTGCAGTGTCACTGATCTGGTGGTGGTTCTAGGCCGTGTGTGTGTGTGTGTGTGTGTGTGTGTGTGTGTGTGTGTGTGTGTGTGTGTGTGTTCCTGCCTTTCAAACCTACTTGGCCCTGGTTGCTTGGACCTCACCACACTTCCATTCAGATTGTGAACATTGAAGACCTTAGATTTGTCCTCTTGTCCTCTTCAAGCTTACAGAGTTAGTGACCAAGGGCTTCTTTGTCACTTGGCTTAGGACCAAAGTTTGTTTAGCATAAAAGTTGGGCATAGCTTGGTATGGTTCTGTGACACCCCTAAGCTGAGCTGTCTTACACGTCTACATTGACTGGTGGTTACTGTTCAGATCCTGTGAGGAGAGAAACAAGTTTTATCCTAGAATAGTAATGCAACAAAACCAGTTACTTTAAATCTAGACAGCCAGGAGAATAGCCTAAAATTGTGAGTAAAATGACCCCTGCGTGGATCCTGCTAACATGACTATTGTAGCGTCATTATAATCTTCCCCCCCCCCCAGCTTTTCTGTATATGGTGACTGTAGTAGGGACAGGCCCCTTGTGCCTCCCCAGTCTTCCAGTGAAGGAATGTAGGAATAAACTTCATAGGGTTTCTGTTTCATTTACTTTTGGTTTTCTAATTGCCTGAAATTTGAAACTTTAGGAAACGGTTCCTTGTTTTATAGCCGATCTCATGAGCATGATGTGACATTATAGCCTTTCTCGGTGAATTTTTCATATGAAATTTAGTTGCTTGACATTTTGATTAGCGTTCTGAGATACTTCTTAAAAACCAATAGTAATTCAAGTAAGATTTTAGAAGGCATTATCTCTATTATTTTGTGTCCCAAAGTTGTAGTATGTGCTGTTTTCTAGGAATCTCACCATTATTCATGACACTGTGTGTCATTAGGTTTTCAAAACTACACAAAGTGATAATTGCAATGAACAATCCTATTATTCATTGTGAATCATTCTTTTTATTAAACTATTCAAGAGTACTGTTTCAAGCATTGTAAAATAAAATAATGGTGTGCTCATGATATGTTTTATGATTAAATATTCACATAAAATGACATTTGCTGTTTTACATGTATTTTTAAGGATTGCTCCATTTTTATTTTGTGTGTATGGGTGTTTAGCCTGCATGTGTGTCTGCACCACATGTGTGTAGTGCTTTCACCCAGTCCAGAAGAGGGCAGTGGATCATTTGGAAGCATTGCAGAAGGGTGTGAGCTGCCATGTGGGTGCTGGGAGCCAAATGTGGGTCTGCCTGCTGGAAGTCAGCAATGCCATTAACACCTGCGCCTTTTCTCCAGATTCATTTTACATACGTAAATTTAATGTAGCATTAAATTTTACATGCTGTGTTAGGGTTAACTTTTAACTACAGTTTTTTTTTTTTTTTTTTTTTTTTTTTATTCATTGGAGCTTTCAAAGGAAGAATCTTTGCAAAGTTTTCTACCTGTCCTCCAAATACCCTGATCTAGTGTCAGAATAGTTGTCAGGTAAATTGATCAGTGAGTACTTTGCATTCGCTTCTCTTCTGTTCCCCTTGAGCACAGTGTGAAAAATGGCAGCTGTGTAAGAGACACTTATGCATCCAAGACAAATGAGAGGAAACTTAATTCTCAAGTCCGGATTTATTTGAAACTTTGTGGACATCTGTGTGTGCCTGCTTGTCTTTGCATATCGTTGGAAATCGTACTGAATTTTGAAGCATATCAGGGAGTAAACTCCATGTGCGTGAACCGAGTGCCGACTGGAGAGGTACCCCGTTCGGATTTCTTCATCTGAACACCTCTGCAGGGCTTCAGGTTCTCATTTTCCTGCCGGCGAGCCCTTGAACGCAGAACGGCATTTCCCGCCTGCTCAGAGATGTCTAATAGACAGGCAAAAATATGCCGTACATCGTCTGTCTTCCAGACTTGTGTTATGCAACAGGATCGGGCTTGGCCCAGAACTCTGTGTTGCCCTGTTCTAATCCGAGTCTGTTTGCTTTTAGGAGTGTGCAGCCTGGTGCCTACGATGGAAGTAGATATAAATGGGGACTCCAGGAGCGCCTTGACCACGCTGCCGTTACCTGTGGCCGAGGGGAGCTCGCCAGGGAAGGCAGAGGCAGAGAAACCCCGCTGCTCTAGCACGCCATGCTCGCCCATGCGTCGGACTGTGTCTGGTTACCAGATCCTCCACATGGACTCTAACTATTTGGTGGGCTTTGCTACTGGTGAGGAACTCCTGAAGTTAGCCCAGAAGTGCACTGGAGGGGAAGAGAGCAAGGGAGAAGCCATGCCGCCCTTCCGCTCCAAACAGCTGGATGCAGGACTTGCACGCTCCTCTCGTCTGTATAAAACTAGAAGTAGGTACTATCAGCCATATGAGATTCCAGCTGTCAATGGCAGGAGGCGAAGGCGGATGCCCAGCTCGGGAGACAAGTGCACCAAATCCTTACCTTATGAACCTTATAAAGCACTCCATGGGCCCTTGCCTCTGTGTCTTCTTAAAGGCAAGAGGGCTCACTCCAAATCCCTGGACTACCTCAATCTAGATAAAATGAACATCAAGGAGCCAGCTGATACAGAAGTGCTACAGTACCAGCTTCAACACCTGACGCTCCGAGGGGACCGAGTGTTTGCTAGGAATAATACATGAGTGACTCACACAGAGCTTAAACCGCTTTAGGTCAGCCCGTACTCGGCTAGAGAATAATCTGCTGTCGTTCTCTGTACATGACCCTTCACATTAGAGATGGTTATATCAGCTAAGTGTTCCTGGAACATAAAAAATAAATAAATAAAAGTTGTTTGGATCAAGTTTTGGATACAGGAATGAAATCACAGGTACTTGGGGCGGGGCGGGGGGATATCATTCTAGAGCACGCAACTGCAAAGAAAACGGAATGTGGACCGTTAATTTGCATAGCTTCCTAGCTAGAACAAGGTTTTGGTGCAGTAATTTCACCTTTATGATTCAGACACTCAAATTGGGAATGTTACCTGCTTGGTTGTTGCTGACTTGGTATGATTCGTTAGAAATTTATATTGAAGTACTCAGTGCTTCTTGGATTTCTGTATTTTACTATACAATGTATGTAATGATTTGTCTTAAGAAATTTAGCGCTTGGACACTGCTGAATTGGACCACTTTTTATTTTTAAATATTGAGTTTAAATATTTTATAACTGGTTTTGCACTGAAAACAATTAACATTTCAGATTAAGAGAATAATCTTTCTTCACTTGCTTCAATACTAATATTGAGCAATGGATTTTTTTATTTCCGCATGGAAAGTTACCGATCTCTATGACTGTAAAATATTCCTTTATAGCATTATTAAAGTGTGTCTTAATGAAATTAAATTTGGGATACAAAGTATTTATTTTACAATGGGTAGTGGGTGGGATTGCGTGTCCAGAATGTTTGTGACATGATGGTTCCCATCAGTCGGAAACATTTCCTTAGTACTTATTTTCTGATTTAAAATCCACATGGAACTTGAAGATGGACAGGATTCTCTCCACTGGGTTGTTGGCAAGTACTGCTTGCATCTCAGCATCCTGTAAGTGAATGCAGCTTCCGCAGAGGCTCTCCTGATTTTGATGATCAAATGCTTAGACTAACTATGAGGGTGATACCACTCAGCACATCCTTGGGTCTTTCCAGGTTCTCTGCAGCAAGGCACTCTCTGAAATTCCAGTTTCAGGATTAGTGTAGGAGTCTAATGTGCTCCTACAGTTTTAATGGGCTAATCCTGGATTACCTAACAATTTATGTCTATCACACTGGTTTAATTTGTTGCTAAAGAAATAATTCCTTGCCTTTAGTAACAGAAGCAGCTCAACTACTCTTGACCATAAATGTATGTAACTTACCTTTTGTAAACGTTTCTATTTCATTCTGTCTTAAAGGTGCAATTTATTATTGGTTTGGCATTTCTGGCTATATAGAACTACATATGTTGTTCTCTTTTCGGCACTTCGAGTTTCTTAGGGGTTAGCAGTCTTGCTTACAAATTAAGAACACTTTTTAATTGATGAACGGGCCATTCCTGGAACAGTTGTGGCTTTCCTCTGTCCAGAATGATTGGCAAATTTTATTTAGAGCAGAATAAATGTTCGAAGCCCCAGGAACTCTTAATGGATGCTTGTTAAGCATTCGCACAGGCAGCCATGTGACAGCATGTATGAGGGAGCCATGGAAATGCTGGCTCACATCTTACTGAGCTGATCAGAACGTTCCGTGACTGAGAAGTTTCCGAAGTTGTCTATTTTAAAGTAAACTGCACCTTTGTAACATATTGTATTGATGAATGATCGCTAAGATTAACTATCTATACAGCCAATAGTTTGACAAGTAATAGAATCCTGTCAGATGCCAAAGAGTTGGGATTTTTACATTTAATGATTAAACACCGTTATTTATTGCTGATTTACCCTCTGGAACTGTATTATTTCTAACTATGAAATAAAAGGGTGATGTAAACATACATTGTTTTGTGGTGCTTTAAATTAAATACACCATTTCCAAGCTAGCCGAGGGGCCCCACCCATAGGGCTGCTGAGTAGAGGCATTTGCTACCAAGTGTGGCCACCTAGGTTCAGTTCCCAGGACTGCCTTGGTAGAAAGAGAGAACCAGTTGTCTCCGATGTCCGCATAGGTGCCATGGCACATGTACACATACGCATGCAAACATATGCATGCATGCGAACACACATAGGGAAATAATTAAATGTATGAAAGAATTCCACTCAAGTGCTTACTTTAAGGCCCTAGTTTTATGAAACAGTAGTGTGTGTGTGTGTGTGTGTGTGTGAGAGAGAGAGAGAGAGAGAGAGAGAGAGAGAGATGCTCATTGTCGCTGTCAGGTGAAGAAACTCTTCCCTGCAGTGGTTTGGCTCCAGCCTGGTCATTGAGGAAGTGTGTCCTGAGAGATTTTCCTAGGTGCCTATGCTTTATTGAGCACAATAGAAAAACATCACTTTTAAATTTTTCTTTTGTTCCGGGGTAAAAAGTGTCTAAAAAGAGTGCTGTGATCTGTTACATAACAATAGATAACTTAAATACTGGTTTCTAAGATATAAAGCTGGGGAGTTCCAGGCCAGCCATTTCCAGAGAATTGGATTCCTGCTGTAGGGGTAGGTAGTAGGGGTAGGTAGTATGTTATTGGAGGAGGGGAAGAAGTCATGAAGAGGAGAGGGAGACGAGGCAGGAAAATGGATGGGGATTTCCTTAGAATGCTGAGTTTTAGAGACTCATAGGGTGCACAGGTCACAGGAATCTTGGTGGTTTCTGTAGCCTCAGTTTACAGTTGTGGGAGGCTGCAGAGCTGCTCTGTCAACAGCCAGGGAGCTGAGGGTTCAGAACATGGAAACCCCTTGGTCTAAAAAACCCAGATCTTTTGGACTACTGTGTAGCCGGGGTCTTCTGTTCCAGGGCGCATCCAAGCTTTTCTCTGGCTCCTGCCCTTTTACCGCTTGTCTGTGGGCCACATTGTCTTTTTCTTACCTTGGGGCTTCATTAATTTAATGGCTTCAGTATTTTTACTTTAGGAAACTTCTAGAAGCATCTGAATTAACTTCTACAGGCAGACCGAGCTTTCACCAAAGAAGGAATATGTCTGAAGTCTTAAGAAAAAACAACCTAGTTTGCTTACTTTTTTCCCCCCATCTGAATATATTGTCGTTTTGGAAAGGCTTTTATTCAGTTACAGCAGGTGAAGTTTCTGTAGTGAAACTTTTCTGTAAAGGTTCCTGGCCTAAGTGGCTTGTCCTCAATCAAGAGCAAGGAGGAGTGGAGGAGAGGCTGTCACACTTTATAAATGGCATAAATGCTTTCAAAGAGATGGGGGGGGGGAGGTCCTGTGCTATAATGCAGAGTGCAGAAAGCATGACGTGAAATTGTCTTTTTAAACAATGATATTTGATTAGGGAGATGGGACTTGATGAGGAACATTGCTTTGGAAAGATAATAAATGTGACCACAACGCTGAAAGTAGGGATCGTAAGCACCGAATGATGCTTCTCTCTGTGTGATAATCCTTCTCTAGGTAAGACTTCCGAAATGGATTTCTTTGATCTTTTACATCAGAAAAAAAAAAAAATTAAGATTTTTTTTCTACCTAAGAACACTAGAAACAATCAAAAGAAGAATGAATTTGATTTTTTTTTATTTTTTAAATTTTCATATGCAGAGTTCACAGAGCACTACTTCACTCTGGCAAGTGTACGTGTGTGTGCGCATACACACATGTGCGGTATGTGTGAGCATGCAAGCGCACACACGCATGTTAAGTTTGTATTTTGCCGTTGTAAAGTTGCTTTGTTCAAGGCTTTCTTAAATGGTTTTAGGGAGAAGTCTGAAATCAAATTTGGATGTTACCTCTGATCTTGAGGCTGTTTGATGTGTGAGCTGTGGGAGAGCATAGGATGAGGGAAGGCATCTGGGGTGGGGCGGAGAAGGGGTACCTGCACAGTCCACCGAGTCCTTAAATGCTCCTGGACGGGCTACTCTGGAGAGAAGAGCTTTGAACTCCTTGCTTTTATGGAAAAGTCAGCAGCACTTTCAAAGTCCCATCTGATGGCTTTGCGAGGATTCTTGTTGTGATCCCCTGAGGAGGTGGGGGCGTGGCTCCATGTTGACCTTTAGCCTCATTCAGCAGGAGGAATTTGCTGTGCCACACTTCTGAGTGAAAGTATTAATCATGGAAATACAAATTCAGACGTCTTTGAAGCCTCTACATCTTACCCAGGGCTTCAAGAAGGGAAAGTGACTTCGTGAGGCATCACGAGCTTTGTGAATTGAATGAAATTCAGGTTTTGATTGGGTTGGAGATAGAGCAGCAAACACTAAGCTTTTTCACCAGCAGGCTCCTCATCACTAATGAATGCGGCAGACATACCTGATGTACCTGAGTAGTCTTTCCTAGAATTCAGATGTGATCGAATTATTGTTTTTCGGCTGGCCATTGGTCAACTGGTCAACTGTGAGAAATTGGAAAGCATGAGACGGGAAATAAAAGTTGTTTTCTCCGACCTCTCTGTACCTCCCACGATGAGGAACAGGATGCGTGAAGAATGGTATCAACAGTTTAAGTAGGAGTCTGTTTTGAGCCTCACATTTGAAATTAAGAGCAAGAATAATGTTGTCAACACTTATAGGTTACGGTGGGCTCTGAGGCCCACCTGTTTGAGCCCTGCCTGTTCCCGGAACAGGTGGTCAAGGTCTAGGGAGATGAATACAAACTTAGTGTTTTATAGAGTGGCTGGCAGTTTAAGGCAGGAAAACCAGACCCTTCTGGGGCTGAAACCTGAAAAGGAGGGCTTCCTCAATTTTCTCTCGGTGGTGCAGTGAGCTTGTTGAGGGTGCTCTGTTACACTGCTGATCTGTGTGAAAGTTGAGATGTAAAAATTCCTTTTTTTTTTTTCCCCCTCAAAAGTGCCGGAGACCAAAAAAAAAAATGGGAAAGACAAAAATCTTAGTAATTGACATTTCTATGTCAGGATATGCCAGAGCTCTTCCAGCGTCTCCTCTGCCTGTGTCCGCAGCTGTCTGCTCATACGGACTGACCTACTTTCTGGAAAGGTTCAGGTGGAAGGGAGTTAAAAATTGAAGTTTTCAAACTGGGCATTGGAGAGGTAAGAACTTCGTGCCCCAGTCTGACCCACGTTTTCTGCTGTAAAACTTAGCTGTGGAATGTCAAATCCTGATGTGTAAACTGCCAAATCTCTGTCTCCAGTCAACATTCTTCCAACCTGACAGCCTTTTCACTTAGCTAACCAGGTAGGTGGCCTCTTCTCTAAGACTGAAGGTGGTCTGGACTTGGTAACTGCCTCAGAGAGGGATCTGAGCCCCAGGTGTCAAGCTACCCAGAGGAAAGTCATAGATGCGATACTGCAGCACTGGCCTGGCAGAGGCTAGAGAGAAAATGGCTTATCTGTGGTGCGCACCCCACTGTGCAGTCTCCAGAGCACCCATGTCCGGGGAAGCATCTCTGCCACTGTGTCTGCATCTTCAACTGTCTCTTTTAAGGATAGAGGCTATTGAAGGTGGGTGCTGGCTGCTCTCTCAGAGGACACAGATTCAATTCCCACCACACGTGGCAGCCCAAAGCCAGTTGTAATTCCACCTCCAAGGGATCCAGTGTTCTATTCTGACCTCTTTGGGCACCAGGCATTCACATGGTGTACTTAACATACGTGTGGGTAAAACAGCCATGCACATAAAATAAAGCATTTTAAAACAGAAAAATGGAAGTGTGTTTTTGCAAGCATGGGCTGGAAGGTTTCTGCTGACTCCCATTGGAAGGCTCACTGTAAGCCTAGTTTGACTGACCCCCATGAGGATTCCCAGAATTCTCTGCTGTGACCTCTTTCTAGGGTTTAGGATTGAAAAGGATTATTTGCTAAGGGAGTAGGAAGGTGACATGCCTGAAGGATGTTTTGTTTATTTTAGTCGAAGGTAATTTTGAAATCCAGCAGCTTGTTCTTTGCTTCTCATTGCTTTAAGGACTCAGTTACAAAGAAAAACACCAAATGAGCTATGACAGTTACATATCATGAAGGAGCTATGACAAATATGAAGGGATTATGACATATGAAGGAACTGTGACACATATGAAGGGGCTATGAAACATATGAAGGAGCTATGACACACATGAAGGAACTATGACACATATGAAGGAACTGTGACACATGAAGGAGCTATGACACATATGAAGGAGCTATGACACATATGAAGGAGCTGTGACACACATGAAGGAACTATGACACATATGAAGGAGCTATGACACATATGAAGGAGCTGTGACACACATGAAGGAGCTATGATACACATGAAGGAGCTATGACACATGAAGGAGCTATGACACACATGAAGGAGCTATGACACACATGAAGGAGCTATATGACACACATGAAGGAGCTATATGACACACATGAAGGAGCTATGACACATGAAGGAGCTATGACACACATGAAGAAGCTATGGCACACATGAAGGAACTATGACACATATGAAGGAGCTATGACACACATGAAGGAGCTATGACACACATGAAGGAGCTATGACACACATGAAGGAGCTATGACACACATGAAGGAGCTATGACACACATGAAGGAACTATGACACATATGAAGGAGCTATGACACACATGAAGGAGCTATGACACATATGAAGGAGCTATGACACACATGAAGGAGCTATGATACACATGAAGGAGCTATGGCACACATGAAGGAGCTATGACACACATGAAGGAGCTATGACACACATGAAGGAGCTATGACACACATGAAGGAGCTATGATACACATGAAGGAGCTATGACACACATGAAGGAGCTATGACACACATGAAGGAGCTATGACACACATGAAGGAGCTATATGACACACATGAAGGAGCTATGATACACATGAAGGAGCTATGACACACATGAAGGAGTTATGACACACATGAAGGAGCTATGGCACACATGAAGGAGCTATG